TTTATTTATTTATTTATTTATTTATTATTATTTTTTTTTATGTATTAGTCCAGCTTAAATTTTTTTCTGGATATGTAAAGGGAAAAAAAGCCAATTGTATGGGGGAAAAAAATGCTTCAAGGGGATTATGTACATCCTGAATGAGTGAATGTTGAATAGAACCCACTTTGCCAATGAGAAATAAACATTAGAAGAACTGAAATCTTAAATTAAAACTATTGCAATTTCTGCACTATTACATCATGACTTTTAAATATTTTGTTTACAGAAAAAGAAATGAAAAGGGAGACTTAAAGGACGAGTTCTGTTAATATCTTACTCATCGAACAAGGATGAAAGTCAGTATTAGTAATCTAACAGTACCAAGTGAAAGAGCCAATTGATTTTATGGCAGTAGCTTCTCTCTTATCATGTTTTCTTCTTATTATTATTTTGAGAAAATTACTTTGAACTAAAAATTTTATTTATAAAAGATTAGGTTCATCAATCGCACCCACACGCGCATCAGATTCTTGAAGCTACTGCTTCTTTCTTTTCTTCATTTCTTCTCTATATCTCTCAGTGGGGGTGAAGGAGAGTGCGGTGGCCGTCCAATGGGGATGCAATGACATGGTGGTTCACCGACCGTAGATCTTAATTCGTCTTGGACTATTGCTATTGTTTGATATTGAAGGATAGTTTTATTTGAGGAGTGGCTAGTTGGGACTATGGAGAGGTAGGGGGTTTGGAGACACCTAGGGGTGTGGCATCACAATCTTGACGAAAAGAAAGCAACCCTGGGAGAGGGTAGAGTGACGAGTTTCTAATCTTGACTCAAATAGGGGAAAATCATGCCTGTAATCAAACAAATTGAAAGTTGCCTAGACAGAGTCCACTACCTGCATCCCTATACAAATCTAGCATTTCACCATCGTAGCTAGGAAACATGTTAGCAAAAGCCATGTGGTATATGCGCCGGAAAGAACAAAACTTACAAATCCAGAACACTATTCAGGGGGGTAGAACAAAGTCAGGAGATGAAAAGCAAATGAAGGGTATCTATTCCAAGGTTTTAAGAAGCCTAAATAACCCTGCTGCTTCCCTGATCCGTGAGAACTCAATGCAGAATGCTTGGACTTCGATAAATATGTCATGAACTGCAATAAGCATAACAATTTACATAGTTATTGATACTGTAGCGGAGATAAGTCGAGCAAACATATGTAAGAACATGTCACCCACAAGACCACCTCATCACGTTACCAAGATTATTGATTCTAAGACCATACGCATTTGAGTTTGGGATCCCTTATCTCAGACAAGTTGAAGCACCAAGGAGGCGATCATGTTTTTTTAGTGGAACAAGTGGATAGGTTAGAGGCCATTTAAGGGGCAGCAAGAACATGAGTTTGTCCCAGTGCAAACATGGGGTAATACTATATGTAGGGGAAAGATAAAGTGGAAACTGAAGATTGTAGGAAAGAGCAATTGGATTGCAGAAGCATAATAAAGGCTAAAGAATGAAAACTATGCAACCTTTACAGTTTTTTTTTTTTTTTTTTTTTTGGGGGGGGGGGGGGGGGGGGGGGAGGGGTTGGGTACACTTTGTACAAAAGGGCCACGCTTCTTGAACAACCCTTTAGTTGTTTAAAGGGTTATGTGGCACCCCCAACATAACCCCCCTATTGGTTTTTTTTTGGGGGTGAGGGGTGTGGTGGAGCATGAGTTTGGCAAGGCAGGGCAATGGCTTTCTCTCGAGTTAAGAATGCCATAAAAATAGGGTATGTTCATATGTACACGAGCAAATCCACCTAGAGTTTATTATGATTTGTTCAATATCCCGTAAGAAACCCACAGAATTGCAGTGTACAAACTCACATTCGTAAGCATAAAAATGTCAACTGCACTTCTACTTACCATTAATTATTTTGTTTCGAATCAAGCTTTGCAGGAAAACACAAACAAGTCTCCCAAGTCTGTTCTGCATGTACCTATCCTGGAAATGGAGAGGAGGAAAAAGAATGAGCTGATACAGTGATACCACCAGTTGTATGTATGATTTTGTGGATATCAGAAGACCAGAAGAACTATGTGCATAATGTAGATGAGATGTTAGGAAATGATATGTAGGACAGATGAGGTACCTTGATGCTCTGACAGGATGATATACAATTTGTAATGTACATGTGTATGAACTCGGTGGGAAGTTCAACCGTGGTAGTCAGCCTGTTAACAACTTCCATAGAATGAAGACTCATGTCCATACTAACAAGTACTGTGAAGTATCTGCACATTTACAAAAGCAAAATCAATGCTTATAATAAAAACAATTTGAGTTGTGACACACAAAATGCCGACAAGAAGATGCAACAAGACCGTACTCTGGAATTTCAGGTGAATTCACAAATTTGATGAGAACTTCAACAGCAATGATTGGATTATTCTCCACTAAATCCTAATGAAAGACACTAGATTAGAAAAACAAGCAGGCTCCAGGTTTCTGTTCTAATAACAACATAGGTAGAAAAATATCATACCGGTAGTTTTCTTGGTGTCAGTCCGCAGTGATATACAAGCTTCGGGTCATTTGCCAACTCCACCAAAACTTGCTGAATAAGTAATGACAACAATCATGTTTATTATGATGCAAATAGAATAAAGTTTGATATTCCTTTGCAGAAGGCAAAGATACTCATGAATCAGCTAAGAAAACAGACCTACCTTTGAAATAAAAAGTGTAATACATGCATGCATGTACAGCTCAACAATGTCCAATCTATAGTGACTCATTCCAGAACAGCTGAGGAAAGAAGTCGTACTTTGTATGAAATGTATTTTCCTCTTTTTATGATCGAAACTTGTATCTTTCATGGGAACTATAATATGAAATGTAAAAATTATCCGTTTGGCTAAACATACAACATTAAGTTCCCAAATTCAAGGATGATGTAGTTGGAACGTTAAGCTGAAGTCAAAAAATAATTGGAATATTTAATAATTTTCTTCAAGAACTGGATAGCTGCAAGTGAAACTTCTGTTATCTACCCAAATAATTTCACATTCAATTTTTATCGGGGCAAATTCATATCATTCCCAGTAACAATAATATGAACGGTGACTTAGCCCTTCAGCTAAAAATACAACATTGACTTCTCAAAGTTTTAAGGATGGGTTACTAAACGAGAAGTAAAACATAATTAGAATTCACGATATGTTCTTTCCAGTTCTTCCCAAACTATTATCCCACTATAAGTACCAGAATTCAAAGTGGTATATCCAAAATCCAGATAAGCTATACTCAGATAACATAAACCCACAGCACTCATTAAATGTGACTCAACTAAAAGATATTTCGTTTAGTAACCCATAGCCCTATGAAGGATAGTTTCAAGAATGGTACAAGGGATACAAACAAGGTTACGCGTAATTTCACAGAAGTAGGTTATGGAGAAGGACACGTCTATGAAATAATGCATTTTTGTATTATATGATTATTTTTCTACTTTTTTTTTGTATTCTATAATTATTTTTCTACTTTTTTTTAAACTTTGAATTTGCAGTTGTAATATTTTGAATTAGCAGAGTGGCTCTTTATCTGCTAGTAAAATGCATATGGTAGATACAAAACAAAACTTATGTCAAGTTTGCATAATTGTTCTCACATTATTTTGGCTCTATGACACAAATGTTTTAATATTTGAAAGTTTCGTAAATTTTACATTCCAAAAGTTACAAAATAGGGCTTGTCCTTAAATAACATGTTGAGGACATGGAAGTTGTCTCAAAAATTTAAAAATATGAAAAGTATAGGTAATGGTACTGGACCATCATACATGTGCCCTACATGTGCCCAAGACACGTCGGAGAAGTATTCTTGTGTCAAAATTTAAAAGAACATATGAAAAATATGACACACAACACGGTTTGTCAGACGTCACAGTATAGAAAGAGTGTTGATGTCCAGTATGTGTTGAACACCGATACTCAACCGCAGGTGGAGTGCACATGCTTCACAGTGAGTCTTATTACGTAAATATAAATTTCAGTTTCAAACACACGGTGAAAACTTTTTATCATGTGACAGCATTCAGCCTGAGTTGAAAAACCTAAGTGAAATGAAAAGTTGCCACACTAACACTGATGGAAAACATACCTCTTGCTGGGCAGGGGCAAGTGGCCCCTTTAAAGCTTTTGCAATTAGATCTCTAACTGCTGCTCCTCTACTAGTACCAGCACACATCCCATAATCCCATAAAAGTTCATGATTGCTGTCTGGATTCAACCACACCAGCTGCACAAACAACAAAAGGACAAGTACTTTGAAACGATTTATTCAGCACACTGGGCAGCTATTGATTTCCTATTTCCCTGTTGACAAATTTAAAATAATGCTCCTATGTACTTACCTCCCCATTCAGTACAGGAAGCCTTGGCGGGAAAGGCCTGATCCATTGAGGACCTAATCCTTCCAACGAAAGGCATGACAATGATCCAGCTATCGATTCTTCTCTAACCCCAGATCCAATCTTAGGTTTAACTCCAGGATGCAGGTCAAACCTGAAATTTGACCGCCAAAACCGCACGTAAAGTAATAAACATAAGGAGTAATTGTTATTAATATATCCTACAGTAAAAAATTACATAAACCACAGAAAAAACGGAATGACTTGAGAAGTCACTAAGAGGAGTCATACTCTGGCGAATTACTATCACATCCCTGGGGTACATCAGGATCAGGCATCACATTTTTCACGGAGTTGTCCTTGAACAAGCACTTAAATAGTTCTGGGGGAATTTTACTGCAATATTGCTGCCACAACTGCTCTTGTGGGGGAAAAGACTGGAAACCAATACAGGGCAAAAAATGCTCAATAACAGGAAAGGTGAAGGTGTAAAACATAATAGGCATGCAAGGAATCTCTTATCAAAATTTTTGAAAGTGCATGTTAGTTTAGCAACAGGAAAGTTATGAGAATTATGGGCATCACAAACCAATAAGTCATCCAAAGTATTGTCATGGAAAGCGAAATTCGACATGGTATAACTTACATGTGATGAAAGGTCAAATTTTTTTATGTAATCAGCTGCCGATTGCTTGAGAAGCTGCATATAACAAGCCACTGCCACTTGTAGTCACATGATTACTGAAGAAGAATAAGAGTCAAAGAAAAGAGGCAACCATGGAAAAATGGATGATTGGAAAAAGCATATGTGAGCATAATATCATTGTCATTAGAGGAAGAACTAAACAACATAACTAAAACTTAGGTATTGATCTAAACAAGAGGGAACAAAGTTTCAACACAGATCAACGCCCACAAGCCAGACATACAACGTCAAACCATTTAGAATATTTAAACATGTTATCACATTGCTACCACACACAGGTGCGTTAAATTCAAGGGGTTAGCTCCTAAATGTTTACTGCCGCCTGGCATCACTAGTACTAAATCAAGAAAAATATATCTAATGCTAAAGAAAAAGAAAATCAAACCTCACAACTATTTGTTACGCTTGAAGTTCCTAATAATTGGAGAATAAATGTCCTTTCATATTTTTCAGCTTCTTCATCTCCTGCTGCCTGCAAATGGACAAAAATATCAGATACAACTATTAAGATGCTAAAAATTCCAGCATCAGAACGAAAGTTCATAAATCATTTATAAAATCAAGACAATGGAATTTAAAACAGTGATTCTAGTGAAAGCTCGAACACGCTCAACTTGTACATAAATATGTTGCACCACCAAATGGTTAGCAATTCAATCATTTGTATCTCTTAACATAAGATGACCAAAATTCTTTCATCCCCTAACACCAAATGGATAGCAATTCAAACCTGTGTGTCCCTCAACATAAGACCACCAAAATTCTCTCATTCCATAATATCCCGTCTCAACAACTCAACCTAAGGTCTCATTTGAATATGGAAGAATAAGTCCAAAACTAAGAAATGACGCAAGATTGATTTTTAATATCTAAGTTTTAAAGAGCGGAATAAAACAAAATATCATAAGTTATTTTGGGTCACAACGATTTTAAGTACAAATTTTACAGGAACAAAATGATGCAAAAGCAAGAGTTTAGACTTTTTAGACTCCTTACACTAGTGCCCTTATTCTTATTGGACTTGAACTTTGGTTGCTTATAGTTAAGTTTTATTTGGATTCTTAATTTAGTACTTCTTTTAGGTTTTCTACGAGACTAAATTACTTTTTGGTGATATAAGTTTTCTAGTTAGAACAGGCTGGAGTCTTAAGGGTTTAGAGAGCTATATGTCAGGCGCCTAGTTTCTTCACTCCCGAACTAAGCAAGCACCATACAGCCTTAACGCTTCATAACTTCTGTCCCCATGAGATAGCATTAAGTTAGCTTTAAACCCCCAAAATAATTTAACCAATGAAGTTAAATTATGTGTTTTCAGTAGAAAAGGTAGATATGATTTTATGAGGAAAAGAGTACACACACAAATATGGGAAAACTTCTTTGTATAAATGTAAGAGGATTATTTACAAGCTCTCAAGTATTTTCTCTCTACAAGATAGCCTTTGCTCCCATTCCATCTATGAGAATTCTCTCAACTCTCCTACACTCCACTCCATTCATTCATTCATGAAATTTTACAAATGACAAACTCTTACTAGACAAGTTGGCATCAATGGCTAGGATTATTCTTGATCCAAGGGTCTTCATCGGTTGTAAGTTGCCATCAACCTCCTTAGACCACAAAGCAGCCAAATTGAAATTTACTACCTTGCAAGTTGCATGTCTCTACACTTGCAAGTTGTCATGCTACAAGTTACATGTCTCTTTCCATGCAAGTTAACAATCTCTACAATTAATATGCAAGTGAACATGTCCCCATCATAGTGATCAAGTTGGACTTTACTTCCTCTATCAAGCTTGTAGTTGTCAAATGGGACTTTGCTTCCTTAAGCAAATTGTACAAGTTGGCACCCACTTACATCCAAAACCACCGGCCGCAATCCATTGTATTTTTCCCCCCTCACAATAGTGATTTTCACCTTAAAAAAATATAACTTCAGTCCATGCGTCCCCTGTCGGTGTTTCCCCAGCTTGCGTCCTGCCTACACAGCTTGACTGTGTTTACTACCTGAGTTTCGTCTACACAGTCTGCTTGTCGCTAATACCTTCGTCCCCTGTACAGTCTGCCTAAGTTCTGCCTGCCTGCGTCCCCTACTGCAATGTCTATGTTGGTCTTGCCTGCATTCCCTAGAGCATTGTCTATGCTGATCCGGCTTGCGTCCCCTACGGTCCTATCGTAGTGCCGGTGTTTTCCCTACCCTTGTCCCCTACCGCAGGTATCTTAGTCCTACCGTAGCGCAGGTAGCGCGCTACCTAATTTTCCCAACCCGCGTCTCCTATTGCAAGAAGTTATGTCCAGCCATAGCGCATTGCCTGCGCTACCCGATTTTCCCAACCACAGCCTGGACGTATCAACCAAGAACGTGGGGACGTAAGTCACTCCCACACCAAATAAGGTGACGCCATCATTGTCATGTACCGCAGAAGCTGAGACCTAATTTGCAATAGGTTTACCTCATTTTCCCATTACTTGCCATGACATTCCCACGTCACATCAAGCCTCAAATCCCTTCCTTGCGGTCCGTGACATATAGGTCTAATTGTTCCAACAAATGTAAATAACGAGAAATTCTCAAGAAAATTCCAATTTCTTAGGCCTTAAGCCTTCGCATTTCAATCTCCACCAATATTTATTTAATCTTTCAGCCTGTTATTAGCTTGTGAGTTAAAAATTTGTGGTTCCATCACAAAAGCAACTTTAGAAGGTGTTAGTTCTTATAATTTCCCTATATACAAGCAACATTTCTCGAATGTAATCAACAGTTTGAAACTTCAGGCCATTAGTTGAAGAGTTCTTTGTTCAGAAAACGATAGAAACCATTTAAATCTTCCTTAACTTGTCACGTGATCCTTATAAAAACATATCTCAGCCCAATTTTTTGGGGACCAGCCTATGTAGGGAACAAAATCTAGCTTCATGAAGTTAGACATATAATTTAGCTGTGATTGGATGGTTTTCTTCAAGAGGAACTGATTATGCAACTACGACAAAAGATGAAGGTTCAACGTGCTCCTTCATAAAGGTTGGGGACCAATTTTCTACTCATGTAATAGGTTGAGGATTGATTTGTATAATTTTCCCTTAAGGGCCTACTTGATCAACGATTTAAACAGAATCCTCCACATGGTTCAACAGAATAGTGGCTTACACTTTTTATAGTTCCCTTTACTCGGCTCATTAGAGCCTTGGTTAATATAATAAATTGATCTTACATGTAAATAATGCATGCCATCCGAGGTTATGAGGCAAGAAAATATGTAGGATCTTTTTGGGATATCTGTTATTCACAGCTAGTCATCCACATGTTGCGGGCCATTAGAGGGAAAACTTGAAAAGTAATGAAGCAAATAATAAAAAAGTATTTTGCATTGCCGACAGTTTCGCTATTTTCTGGAGATTTTGGAGTAATGCTCTGGGTAAGTATACCCAAGCCCTATCTTTATTATTTAGTGTTTACATTTACGTTGTTTATTTTCTTAGTAAATTTGTCCACAAGTCTTAAATGGCTTCCAGAAGTTCCAAAAAAATGCCATATATCCCATGATAGTTTCTTACTTGGAAATCAAGTCATTGATAAGCAGTTCAAAATCAGTTTACATTTAAACAGTCAATTAAGTTTTAATATCCATTAGCTATGGAGGCACAAAAATATGATACCTTCAAATGTATCGCTTGCTCATAAACCATGTATCTGCTACAAAAAATGCATTCCTTGCTTATAAGCTGTGTACCTAATGATTATTATGTCTGCATAAAATTCTCTCTCTCTCTCTCTATTTATGTATTAGAGAGAGAGAGAGAGAGAGCGCGCATCTGCATGCACTATCTTACCAAAATTAAAGAATATGTTTGCACTTTCCCAAAGAGCAGTTTAATAGCAGCAGCTTACACTCTACAAAAAGTGCTCCTGAATTGTTATTGTAATATATAATTCTTTACAATTATATAAGTGTTAGTTTTCAAACTTGAAGAATATGTATACAAGGTATTAAGTAATAAACAATATAGCTAATAATCAGTTAAATGGACTTGAAATATTATCTGTAAAACTTTAGATTGCACTTACATTGACAAGCATAGAAATGAAAGGGTTGGAAGAAGGTGGCTGGGAAGCATATGCCTGGCGAATAATTGCAAATGCAACCAGTCGCTGAGTTGGCGTTAATAACTTGTCCTGCAATTAAATGATGTAGACCTATAAGAGAATTTCCAAACGGGCAGTTTGCATTGTTTCAGTCAGGTACCGAAAACAATTGCCACACATAGGCAGAACTTAATACTACTGTGCAAAGAGAGAAAAATAGAAAGAAGTGAAACATTCAGTTCACTAAGTTTCCTCAAACATAAACCTTCATATAAAGGTAAACTATTTCATATCAAAAGTGTTTATCCCACCTCTAAACACTGAGATTGGAGAGTTATATCAATGTGCAGGTACACACAGAAGCAACCACAACGCTCTACATAAAACAAATATTCACACATCATTACCAGCAGGTGCACACAAAATATGAATTTCAACTCTCTGTCCCAGGTCTATTTTATTCATTAAAATCATAAATCTATGAATACACAAATACTCAAAACCTTAATTAAAAATCAAAATTCCAACATTGAACAAGCATGCAATTTAGTTAGTAAAATTGAATTCTATATAAACAAACCCTGAAGCCATCAAATATTGAAACCGATTAAGAAACAGTAATTAAGGGAGAGAAAATCGCCTTGGGATCTTCTAAGAGCAAGGCAAGGGAGGAGCAGGCGTATAAGTGAAGAGAGCGAGGAAACTTGGAGTTGAAATCCGATACAATAGCTTCCATAGCCGTTTCTTCTCCGCCATGTAGCAGCTTTAACAGCTTCCCACTGTCCTCGAACCCTAACATCGTCGCTTCCAAAGGAACTCGCTAATGAAGCAAATTAGTTGCCAATCAAATCAGTGCCTAGTCTTTGTTACAGTTGCTCACGGACTTTTGTGAATTTTATAGAATTTGATTTCTATGTGAATTTGTTAAGAATTAAAAAAATAAAAAATAAAAAATCATGGATTTCTATAGACTTTGTCTAAAAAATTTTAAACACTTTAAAATGTACCTAAAATTTTAAACACTCGAGTCATAAAAGTTACGAAAAAACGATTCACAATGAGATTATTAATATTGTCCTCATTGGGATCTTTTTTTTATGCAATAATTAGTGCAATGCCCCTTATTAAACACCAATTTTCGAAAATCGACCTCTAACTTAAGGTTTTCATCCAATTTTCATTCTATTAGTCTCAGACAATCTACACAAAATTTAGCACACACGAAATTCACATTTATCTCTAAATTTCCCTACAACAACTTAATCTACCAAACATCCTATATTTGGTTTAAAGGTAATATGATGTTCAAAGGTTGTTTGAGTTTAGCATCTAAGTTATCTAATCCAACCTATAAACATGAATCAACCTACTCATGCACAACGCCACAATCAACTCACGTGCAAAAATAATTTTCGTTTTACATAAATAAATAAAAATCTAACTCAAGCACATAACTTATTCATAACCCATAAATCAACGCATGTTCTCAATTACACAAATCAATATCGGCAAGGCTATCTAACTCAACAAGCATGCAAAACTCAAAATGATTTTTTTTTAACAGTGCACCCTAATAAGAAAATTAAAAAAAAAATTGCACACAAATCACACAAAATACACAAAATAAAAAATATGTCGGCAATTAGAAAATTTATGATACACCCCTAAACTTAAACTAAACATTGTCCCTAATGTAAAACTAAAAGAAAAGGAGAAAAACTTCCCTGAATTGTCTGAATTGCCAATGATGGTCTAGTGCTATGATGTTGGACTTGATTGATACTTCTTCTAGTTTCTCCCCCAAACTTGATATTTATCTAGTTACTTTTCGTCAATTGGTTTGATTGTTCTATGATGTCAAGTTTCTGAAAATTCAAAATGTAGATATTAAATTCATGGAACAAGTGTTACTTAAGTCGAATATCTAATAATCAACTAGACTGCTCAAAGACCTAAGGGAGACGAGGTAGGGCTAATGAATTCCTAAATAAAAAAATTTTTGAAATGAAATAAACTCTCCTATAATTCAAAACAAATAAAATAAAATAAAATAAGTGAAAATGTAAGAACGTTTGGGTTGCTTCCTAAGAAGCGCTTCTTTATAGTCACTAGCTTGACTCAACCGCAACGCCTACGGTGGATTCTCAAGTGGCACATATCTCTTGTTTCTGAACTTTATCTTCGACTTTGTATTCTCCTTCATTGTAAGATGGTGAATAAACTTAGGCTGTTTTGACCCTGGTATGACTTTCAAGACCTCTTTTGGTTTGGTAATGATTGGAAATTTCAAACGCCTATCTACATAGCTCTTTTTTTTATCAGGTAGGTCAGCTTCTTAAGCTAAGATGAAATCCACTGCTTTTTCATTTCTGAGTCATTACCGTCAGTAGATGCATCCCTTGTTGAGTAACTAATTTCCATGTATTGCACCAACGGATCATAAAATAATTCCCTTTTTTCTCCGTTTCCTGCAATTACTTCAGCTGATTGAATCATTTTATAAGTATCAACTTTTCCTTTTTTTAGGGCTTTCTTTTCTTGATGGATGTTGAAAGTTACTTGCTTTTCATTAACTCGTAGTGTCAACTTTCCTTCTTGCACATCAATCAATGCTCTTCCAGTAGCCAGGAAAGGTCGGCCAAGAATCAATGGTACTTTCTCATCCTCTTCCATGTCCAATACCACAAAGTCCATCGAAAAGATGAACTTATCAACCTTCACCAACAAATCTTCTATAATACCTTTGGGATATGTGATCGATTTGTCCGCCAGTTGCAAGGTAAGGGTTGTGGGATTCACTTTTTCAAGACCCAGCTTTTTGAACACTGATAAGGGCATCAAGTTTATGCTAGCTCCAAGGTCACATAGTGTCCTATCAAATGTGATACCACCAATATTGCACGGGATGTTGAAGCTGCCCGGATCTTTCAATTTGTGAGGGAGCTTCTTCTGAAGTATGACACTACACTCCTCTATCAGCTTAATAGTCTCAAATTCCTTCAACTTTTTCTTTTTTGACATCACTTCCTTTGAGAACTTGGCATAGTTAGGCATTTGGGCCAAGGCTTCTGCAAAGGGAATGTTGATGTGGATTTTTTTGAAGACCTCTAGAAACTTTACGAATTTTTCATCAAACTCCTTCTTCAAATACCTCTGCGGGAATGGTAGTGGGGGCTTCAAGATAGGTGGGTTGTCCGGAAATGAAATTGAGTAAGGCTTATAAATCTTCTTTGTTGCCTCTGCCTCAATTTTCTGCCCTTTAGTCTGCTTTTCCCTTGCAAGAATGGGATATCCCAACCTCTCTAAGCTTGCATTCTTCAACTGCTTTACCACTTCTTAAGGTGATAGCATTGCAGTGTTCCCGTGGGTTAACCTCTGTGTCACTGGGAAATTGTCCTTTTTGTAGAGACTGTATTGCAGTTCCTATCTGACCAATCTATACCTCCAAATTCTTCACTACAGCCCCCAAGTTGGTCATATGTGTCTCAATGCTGTCAAGTCTTGCCTCATCTTTGTTGAACCTCGATCTGGTCTTCGAAATGAAGGTTTCTAAAATATCTTCCAGTGATGGCTTTCGCTCAAACGCTTGATTATTGAACCCTTGATAGTAGTTATTTCGTGAGTAGTTTCCATTTTGATTGAAATTCCAATCATTCACATATTGAAGTTGTTCATTCTCCCTTTCAACTTTTTGGCATGCAGTGGACGTAGCCATAATAGATTTTGATTTCTTTTGTGATCCATGTGAAGTCAATACAGCTATTTGATTAGTGAGAGATGACATTTGAGCTACAAGGGCGGTTATAGGATCTACTTCATAAAGGCCAGCAACTTTCTTTGCACTTGAACGCTCACTCGGCCA